TATACAGCAACTCTGGGTCTCGGTACTAATAACAATACAGTATTCACATGTAATAATGTACTTGAGTGATTTTCAGACATTTCACATACCTCTTTCCTTTAATATTAGGGGAAACATTATTTCCCGATAGACAGGGGAAACATAGGGAAACCGAATTGCCCGGAACACCTGTTACTGGTTTAAAATGACTTGTTATAACTTTGTTGTTTTTGCCATCTTTTATGTACCTACATTATGTACATTGATAAGTTTAAATTCTGACTATTGTAAACTGTTGCGCGCAAAAGTAAGCTCTCTTTTCTGCCTCTGAAGGGGGAAGAATCGCCAAATTGTTCGTATGATTATGGGAAAGTGAGGAAGAATCTAATACAATAGCCCTACAAAGGTTTACAGGGGGGTTAAGGGTCTTGTTCAAGGACCCGCAGATGTGCTGAGGCTGGGTTTGAACCGGCAACTTTCTGATTACAGACACACAGGCTTAAAATGATGTGAATATGGTAAATACCTCCTGTGTGGGTTATTGTAAATACTTGTGTTGTATTTTCTATTGCCGCGTGTTTTTCCCCGTTTTATATGGGAACCCAGTATGGTCCTCGTGTGTCTGCAGCCGTTGTGTAAATTACTCACCGTATGTGTCCCTTAAGATCATTTAATAAAAATGACATTTTTTTCCCAGTCGCGATGCCTCGTCCTCACACACATTTTAGTATTCATAAGATATAAACCACACGGGCGGGACGTAACAGCTGCAGGCAATTTCCTCTTGTTAGCTCCGCTTCTTAAAGCGGATGATTCCGCGTAAACGTTGCGAAGTATTGTTGCCATGATTAGGAACATTACCGAGCTTTATGCTGTCTTTTGTCTTGCTTGCTTGCTTGCTTGCCTGCCTGCCCGCCCGCCTGCCTGCCCTGTTCTGCATCCCCGACCCATCACCATCGTTCCTCCTTCCCCTTCGTCGTCTCGTCCCGTGCCCGCCTGTAGGACTGACCTCCCCGGCTTTTGACCTCCTGCTTCCGTCCCGACCACGAACCTGGATTTCGGACTTTGCTTTATCTGCACCCGGCTATTTAATAAAAGCGCCTGTTCTCCAGCATTACTTGGGTCTGCCTCCTGTCTGCTTTCTGTTCATCACACTACAAATATCCTTCGTTTTTTATTTAACTCATATACACCATCACTCCAGCCTTGGTCAGCTGGCTGGAGTGAGATTTTAAATTCGAGACAAATTAACATATACAGTCGAAACCAGAGGTTTACATACACTATAAAAAGACACATAACCTTTTTTTTTCTTACTGTCTGACATAATCAGGCAAAACGTTTCCTGTTTTAGGTCAGTTAGGATTACCAAAATCATTTCTATTTGCTAAATGTCAGAATAATGAGACAGAAAATTTTAGAGAATTTTTTATTACTTTCTTCAAAGTCAAAAGTTTACATACACTAAGGTTGAATTAATTGGAGGCACACCTCAAACACAT